ATCCTAGTATCACTAGAATTTTTTTGATTATTTGTTTATTCTCCAAAACCAATGTTTACAATGAGGTGTTTTAATTGAGTAACTATGTAATAAGTATTGAATGAAATGATTGCCTCGCGCTGGCTTCGCAGGCAGTTTTTCTTTCGCGTGTGTTGAGAAATAGAAAGGTTCTGTACGCTTTACATTTTCTGAGCTTTGGCTAGATTGTGATGAGACGTGCTTCCTACCGTACCGTGCGCAGTCTCGCGAGCAGTGTGTACTGGAAGTAACGTTTATTGGCTATTAGTTGGCGTGTTGATCAATGCCATCAGTCATAAACCTTTTCAAGCGACCGGTAGAGGCAATCGTGGTTGGTTAGGTTAGTTGAACTGCAATAAAATTGTCTTTTTGATCGAATAGCCATATTAAAATTTCTCTTTTTCCGGTGGAAACAAGTCGACAGTATTAAGTAACCGGCTAAACTTAAAGTAGTTGTAAACATGCATCGATTTAAGAAATAGAAAGCATGTACCGTGTTTCTATCCAGTTATAGAAACACGAGTGGAAGTTCGAGAGAAAAAGTGCTGAACGAGAAATGTTGTGGGAACACGAGCTGCAGTGTTTCCACAGCTTTTTCGAGTGCTCCCAAACTTTCACGAGTGTTTCTATAAATTGATAGAAACACGGAGAACATGTAGGAGTGTACTTTGTACTGCCAATATTTAGTACAAAATAAGTTCCATCTCGGTATCTCAGTTGTAGTTTGATCGTGACGAAATCTCATCAGCAGACGAAACCGGTCGATTAATAAACTCAGTTTTACAAAAGCATTAGTTGTTGCTGCGTGCTGCCCACAAGTATTCTCATTTTAAAAAAAGATTTATAAACAATTGTAGTCTTATAAACCGGAGATGAATGTCGGCCTGACAGGCCACTATGTTTGCGGGCAGAATTTCCCGAATCTCTAAAGCAAACACGCTAAGCTCTAGGGATTTGAATTTAACCCAGCTAGTTATTCTAGTGTGTTTTTCGGTGTCGGAGTTTATTAATTTGCATTTGGTCATTATTGTCTCAATGCAATGACAATTGAGAGCCTGGAACAGAAACAATTTTCGCTTTCTTGCAAGAAAGGTAAGTTTTGCGCCAAATTGNGAGCTTCGGCTATATTGTGATGAGACGTGCTTCGTACCGTACCATGCGTACTCTCGCGAGTAGTGTGTACTGGAATTAATTTTTATTGGCTATTAGTTGGCGTGTTGATCAATACCATAAATTTTCAAATATCATAAATTTTTTCAAGCCACCGGTAGAGGCAATCGTGCTTGGTTAGGTTAGTGGAACGGCGAGTAAAATTATTCATTCATCGAATAGCCAAATCAAAATTTCTCTTTTTCCGGTTAAAACTAGTCGACAGTATTAAGTAACCGGCTAAACTTAAGGTAGTTGTAAACATTCATCGATTTAAGAAATAGAAAACATGTACCGTGTTTCTATCGTGCTATAGAAACACGAGTAAAAGTTTGGGAGAAAAAATGCAGAACGAGAAATGTTGTGGGAACACGAGCCGCAGTGTTTCCAAAGCTTTTTCGAGATTTCCTAAACTTTTACGAGTGTTTCTATAACTTGATAGAAACACAGAAAACATGTAGGAGCGTAGTTTGTACTACCAATATTTAGTATAAAATAAGTTCCATCTTTGTATCTCAGTTGTAGTTTGATCTTAGCTCATGAAATCTCATCAGTAGACGAAACCGGTCGATTAATAAGCTCAGTTTTACAAAATCATTAGTTGTTGCTGCGTGTCGCCCACAAGTATTCTTATTAAAAAAAAAAGATTTATAAACAATTGTAGTCTCATAAACCGGAGATGAATGTTGGCCTGATGGGCCACCATGTTTGAAGGCAGACTTTCCCGAATCTCTAAAGCAAACACGCTAAGCTCTAGGGATTTAAATTTAACCCAGCTAGTTATTCTACTGTGTTTTTCGGTGTCGGAGTTTATTAATTTGCATTTGGTCATTATTGTCTCAATGCAACGGCAATTGAGAGCCTGGAACAGAAACTCTTTCGCTTCTTACAATAAAGCTAAGTTTTGCGCCAAATTGTTACGGAAACCGCTGCTGGGGTTGAGAGAGTGAATAAAAAGGGAAAAGTACCTTTCTTCGTAGTAATAATGAAGGCAGATATATGTTGGTTGTTAATAATAAAGAACTAGAGGATAGAAATGATTCTGATGTTTCTACAATACGCTAAGAATTGCGTAACATGGAAGTTTCTCTAGACACACGTGCTACGTAATACCAAT